GCCAATGTTAGAGTCCCGGCCGCTATTGGAATACAGGCCAATATTAGAGAATTTACGGTATCTTTAGTCCCTCCAACTCAGGACTTGTTTAAACCTCCTTTTGCTGCGATTGCAGTGTCAAGTTTTCAAGCTTAGAGCTTCTAGGGACTGAAATATTTCCTCCCCTCTTTTTTGCAAAATAGCCCGAGGTCAGTCAGATTAGATGGAGTTTTTCCGTGAGCGTCTTGAAGCATATTTTCAGCCGCATTTATATCTGAACTTTGGATAGTAGCTCTGTTGGAAGATGAACCTCCAACCCAGCTGCAGGTCCTTTGCAGCCTCTTAACAGGTTTTAGAGGGCTTTCCCTGTATTTAGCTTCCCTTCCCTGCTAAAGAAAATCCTAAAGATTCCGCCATCCGAAAATTATTACACATTTATAATGTTAGAAAAAACTAAAAGTGTAATTCCTTTCTTACGGTAGAAACCTAAGAGGTTACGGTAGAAATATAACCTAAAATAAGGTAACGTTTTCCATAATGTGCGTCATTTAGATTTGATTCATTATTAACCATAATTCAAAACGGCTTTGCTTTCCCTAACCTTTAATAAGCTTAGACTGAGAGAAAACATGCATTAATGTGTCCATACAACACATCAAAGTGTAATAGCCTTCAGCCTTAATACACTCCCACCAACAGGAGCCTGTTTTACATGTTTGTTTTTTTTCTGTATATGGAGATTTATTCAGGCTGTGTGGTAAAAGATAAAGCATTTCTAAATCCATTTATATTCTCCAGTTAAACAAGACAAGGAGCAAGGGGAGGATTATCGCTAAGATTAAGTCAGGAGCATATAAGAGCATGAAAATACTCTATATTTATATATATTTAAGCTCAGCAGCTTTGGTATAAACAGTGATTCCATCTTGGGTTTTAAGTGTCCTGTTCTTTTGACCTGAGGCCATTATGAGCAGCTTTGCTCAGAGAACAAATAAAAGCCGTTAGTTTTCTTATTTTAAGAAGCTAATAAAATCATTCCCCATCAGGAGAAGAGATTTTCCCCTCAGTGACTCCACAAATGTTTCAGTAGATCACAGCTGAAAGAGCCTCTAACCAAAGATTTGACCGGAGGTGAGAACCTTGATCATAGAGCAGCTAAACGCTCATGTCTGGTGATATTTCCAGGAAATCTTTGCTTTCATTTGGTCATCCCTCTTCATAATCAAACCCTCTGCTGCTTCCTCCACCCGTCAGATTAATTCAACCCCTAGTTTTACCCAAGCGTGACTCTAATTGAAGTCCTGTGCATCCTTGGCCCCCCCCGTCTCCGAGTGGCACTTGCCAACAGATCTCTGTATCGATCGCGTCGTGATACTTGGCGGCCTTTTGTTTCATTCATGAGGGCTCAAGCTCCTTCCCCGCAGCAGCAGATAAGAGACGAGAGGGTTTTAAATAGAGAGGACCAAAGCGCTGAACTGAATCACCAAAGGAATTTTTCCCTGACGGCAATAGAGCGGTGTCATCTACGCGCGGCTGAGGCGATAAGCCATTGAGATAAATGTCCCCCTTTGTCGTTTAAATGATAAACTAGTGGAATTCCGGCTGCAAAGCTGTCACGTCGGGATAATCCTGGGCCAGGCGTCGAATTCGCTCCGAGGGGGGTGATGTTCAGTGCAGAATCAGATGAAGAGTTGTCAGTGAGGCTTGGAGGAGAAATACCAGCTGGATTAAGTATTTTTTATGTCCACTCATGAAATGGTAGCAGTTTACCGATTCTGTCTTTGCATTACATGATTTGGATGAATCTGCAAAATTCCCCTCGATCTGTGAATTCCTCTTAACCTTCTGTTGCATCAGTGTGTTTTAGTGGGATTTTTTTTCATAATGATCAACATAAAGTGGGCATAACTGATGTGCACAGTTTCCTCCAGATGTTTTAAATAAATAAATGCAAGTGAGGTATTTCTGATGCATTGCAGGTGTTGAAAAAACAGCTAATACCTCCCTATAAAAACCTTAACTTACAGTTTATGCTTACTGAAGTGAGTAGCCTCTTCTTTTCAGGGAGCAGTGTCACTATTACTTAAGTCAAAGCTCCTATCTGCTATTCCGCAGACAGATAACCTGTCAGGGGTCCAATCGTCACAGCTATTCTCCCCGTTCAAGTCTCAGATCCTCATTCAAGATTTGATTTTCTCCCAAAATATTGTTGCTTTCAAGTTTTCCCCTTCAAGAATTGGCTCCTTTCTTGCTCCTGCTTCTATCCATTTCAACAGATTGAACAGAAGCAGGGGGGGGTTGCTGGTTGTATTCCCAGCAGTCATGAAGCGAGTGGAGAGGTTGCAGAGAACTGTAATATCACAATCATTTCTTTGGGAGTTCATTGTCTTTGCTCAATTTTCAAATAATCCAATAGTTAATTTCCAATAGTAATTTCTCCTTTTTATCTCTGTCTACAGATTTTCTGTAGAGTTTAGGGATGAGAAAGCCATAGGAAAAAAAAAAAGATATTGTGTATAATGATGTATTTCTATAGATTTGTGTCATTTGCAGCCTATTTACCCATCTGTTATGCTTGTTTGTTTTTTTGTTTTTTTTTTGTTTTTTTAACAGAATTTAGGGCTGCAACTAATGATTATTTTGTAAAGCAGTTAATCATTGTATTCTCATTATCAGTACGAAAAGTTATGCACCGTAATTTCGTACGTTTAGACGTTTTTTTCGTGGTATTTCGTGGTATTTTTACGTATTGCCTCGAGACAAGATATCCTTGCGCATGCGCATCTTACGCACAATTCAATAACATAGAATTTAACATACAATAAACCCTGACCCTAACCCTAAGATACAAAACAGCAAGCAACGTAGTTAGAGACATGAAAAGGTAATTATTGCACTGTTTCTCCCAGTTTTATGTTCGTCCACGGATCTGCTTTTTTCGTCTGTCTGGTTGCGAATGCGAACTGATCTGTTTTTCCGAGGAAAAACGTCCAAAACGTACGAAAAACTGTGCATAACTTTTCGTACGATTTCATACGAACTGATGATGAGAATATATTGAGTTAATTGGTAATTGTTTTTTCAATTAATTAATTAATAATTGGATAGCCAAAGATTCCTTAAAGAAGACTTTTTATTAAATTAAACCAGGTGAAACTCAAACTTTTCCACTTGAGGAGTTCTGGATTGACTATATTGACATTTTTTTTTATCTTAAATGCAAAATGTTTATATATATTTTTACAATCTTGGCATAATTTTAGAGTTTCTAAACTACAGTCAACGATAAATCGAATACTAAATTAGTTGATGGTAATTTCAATAATTTATTAGTTGTTTCAGCCCTATTAGAAGTATCTGGATATAACATTTAATGATGCTCAACACTCTAAACAAATTTGCATGGCCTTTGGAGGCAAAGCTGGCCCACAGCATTATGGTCCTCCACCGTACCCAACAGTGTATATAGTTGCTTTCTCACCTACATAAAAAGCTTAATCTAAATCTCATAGTTGAAGTCCCAAAATGTATATTGGCATTGGTTTAGCATCCTTAATCATGTTGCTGTTTATCTGTAGTTAAAGATGCTAAATGAGACTGGATTTATTTTTTTTATTTTTAGAGAAACGTATAAAATAGTTTACTCAATTATTTTTTTTTTTGCATGTTAGGATAGAAGGTTTTTTTTTTCTCCGTCTATCTCTAATCCTGCTCCATGCTGTTACAGCACAACCAGCTGCACCGTTCCCCTGACTCTCCATGATATTTATTTTTTCATAATCCAAATAAACACGAGGGGCTCTGAGCTAGACCGCTGCAGCTCAGGAAACACTTCCTAATGTTGATATACATCTCCAAATCCCTGTGTCGGCTGTTGGCAGGTATTAACCTTTAGACTATATCCTTTTTTTTCTTTCTTCTACGTCCCTCATTTCCAGGCCTCAAGTGGCTCTGGCTGCTGAAAGAATGTGGCATTTCACTGGTCAGCTTTTTTTTTTTTTTTCCTCTTGTCAAATATGCCCAGTGTGTGGCACAGTGGCTATTGGTTGATTGGAGTTAATTCTGAGGGTAAGTGGCTTCCCAGGCTTCAAATTGACTGTAGTTAGAGCTAATGAAGCTGTAATAACTGGGAAAATGTTTTTTACTTTGGTTATTTTTTTCCATTGATTACACGGTTACGGCCAGACCACTGCAGAATGATTACCTATAATTGCAGAAAGGGACAATCTTAGTGGTATATGCATGTTTTTCTTCCTGTTCTCCATTATTGATGCTAATGCATGCAAAGTGTCACAGAAGAAGCACCATCTTCAAACGTGCATCATAAAAAAAAAAAGAGGAGAGAAAACAACTGAGATCGCTAACGAGCTGCTTGGTTACCACAGGAATTACCATGGAAACCAATAAAGGATAAAGTGTGGCCAGAGAAACTTGAATGTAATTGGATTCAAGTTTTGTGAGTTAGTAATTAGAAATCTGATTGCTTGCCTAAAGATACCCAAAGTTTTAGTGCAAACCGAGACAGGGTACGTAATGAAACTAATTAAATGTGAACTCTGCAAAACTGGATATTGGGTTTCTAATTACAGAGTGACAATTTGGGTTTTGCAAACAAAGGACCAAATAACTCTTGTTTTTTTTTTTTTTTCAGATTGCTTTCAGGTTTTCACCTATTTTTTTTTTTTATACGGACTGCTTCATAGTTCAGCATTATTAGACATATTTAGAAATAAATATGCTAGTTCTTCTGTTTTTGAAGTGAGGACCCAAAGATGCGTCAAAAAGGTTCATTTTGATTATATAAAACGCTTAAAACAGCATCAAATAGTTCAGTATCGACTAAATTGATATATTTTAGGTACCAGAATAATGGGAGGTTAAAAAAAAAGTCTATTAAAACAGTGTGTGGTAAATATTTGCTTTCTGTTCGCCGTTTTATTATGTTTAGGTCCAATATTAGAACCTACACCCACCAACATCTGTCTCCTCTGCTTGTAGGAGGGAGTTCCATTGAACCTGAGCTTCATCCCTCTGGACATCAAGCTAACCAACTGGGACGACCTGCCCGAGGCCTTCAGCCGACACCAGGAAAATCGAATACAGGTCTGCCCTTCCCGCCAGGCACAGAGATTATGAGTGTTTTGTCTCCTTTCTTTGAGGTTCGTAGATGTGAGGCGGTGAATGTGGTTTGGCAAAGAGCATATCACGATATTAGGTTTAAAATCGATAATTATTGATACTTTTTATACCATGCAAAATAAAGACTAGGAGGGAAAAAAGGCAGAATTTAGCCCAAAAAGCATTTATTTTTAAATTAAAGCTTTGGCTTTACCCTTTTAAATAGTAATCACTAAATAAAAATGTGAAAAACAGTCAGCAAATAATTATTTTATCCATTTTATGGCGCCAATTTCATGTAATTTTTGATGTTGGTCTTTTGCAAATTGCAGATGACGATGGCTTTAGGTTATTGTAATGCATGAGATCAGATTGGCTCTGGTGATAAAATAAGACCGTTTGTTGGCATGGTAACCAGACTTCAAATATCTAAAATGCTGCCACACTGGGTCCGATACCCTTCCTCTTTTGTCCATAATGTCCTCTCATGCTGGCAAACACTATCCACTGTAGTTTTGAAACAGTGCAGTTGAGAAAGCACAGAGAGGCTCCATCCCAGAAGCACTATCCGTACTGTACCATCAGCTCATTTGCATATTCGCAGATATACATCCAGGTATCAATAAATAATGTAATTATGGTACTAAAATGACTTATTTCTATCCTTGACTCACTAAAGAATACTAATGCGTATCTTTAAAAAATGTTTTATGACTTTTCTGAGACATTTTTGATGCTTTTCACATTTTCTCGGTTAAACTGCTTGTGTGACGTCATCATCGGACATGCTCAGAGTCCGGCAAAATATGATTACACCATATTTATCTGAATTTTAGTTTTTTCTTTCTCTAGATCACGCACTATATACCATAAGGTTAACACGAAGGAAAACATTAAACTCAAAAGACTAGATTTATGTTTAAATCTAAAGCCGAAAAAGTTAGCTTCCAGAAGTAGCGTAGGATCCTATTTCCGGTACAGAAGGGGTTTTAAGGCATTTTCTTTCTCAGAAAATACATTATTAATCTTTAAGACATTATTGTTTAGTACGCTTACTGTTTTTGGGAGTGAAAAACGTAATTTAGTTTTTTTTTACAAAAGAAAAATCGAGGGCGACCCGGATGTATATCTGGTTGTGCGCAAATGAGCTGGTGGTACGGATCGTGCTTCCGGGACGGATCGGGTAATCAGCTAATGGCTGAGATGCTGTCCTCTTAAACTACATCCCCCAGAGTACCTTGCATGCTGCCACATTTCCTGTTATTTACAGTTAAATTGCTTGCAAAGTTAAAGACCTTTTATTGAATAATTATGGAACAGATTTTTTATTGTTAGCTATCCCATTCATATGCGATACATATCATTATCGTTTTGGTGGACCTCCATAATTTGTCATAGCTGTTGAAATGAATGGTTTTTAATCTTGTTTATATTTTTGGATTGAGCTCCAGATCGGATTTGGAAGTTCATTTAATCACAGGCTGCTTAAGGAATCCCCCAAATTTCAGAGATAATGTTGTGCATATGGCAATCTTTGGAGATCTCTGCTTAATTCCACTGACCAAATAAAGATGAGACACAAGACAGCAAAGGGGCTTATTAAACCTGGCTGATGACTGACTGAGAGACGTAGGACCTAAAAATACCTCCCATCAGAGAGTTAGGAGGCTGACAGTTGGTGGATTAGTTTTATCCATGCAGGGCATGAATACCATCCATCCTTCCATCCATCCAT